CCCCCCCATATAAGAATGCCTGGGACTGCAGCTTTATGTTCAGTTCTTTTGAGACCAACTTGACCACAGCTGTCTATACATCAAGGACATGCTGAATCACTCAGGATGCAACTGCCAAGAAAGAATCCAAGGGGACTGAAGCGGGGTGGGGATGCAATCCCTCATATGCTGCCTGGCTAACCTTAATCTGTAGATTAATCCATTAATACCTTGGTGTATTAATTAGTTGGCAGCCTAGTATTAATCAGAGAAGGGAGATTTTAATTGGAGGGGCTGAGTGTTAAGGACACACAAGCTAATCCTTTCGAGTGATCTCGGGGCATCAGAAATAGAGAACCAATGATTCCAGATGGAAGGAGGAGTACTCTTTCAGGCACTCTCTTAAAGCATGAATTCTTGTCCATTGTCCTGTATCTCAGTTCTCAAAAAATACTTGCCCTGAAGAATATCTGACACAACTATTTAAATACAATGATTTCATTCTCTCTTTTTTTAAATGGAGATGCATCCCATTGCTAAAATGGGCTTTAAGGAAGCTAGCTAATAAAATATAACATAAATTTAATCCAACATATGTCCACTCAGAAGTAAGTTCTGTTGAGTTTGGCGGTGTTTACTCCCACATAAGGGTGCATAGGATGATAGCAGCCTAACGGTGTAATCTTCTACACGTCCATTCCAATCTAAGACCCTTTCAACAGAAGGCACTCAGAGGAAAGCAAGTATAGGGTTATATCTTTAAAAATGAGCTAACACAAAGGAACAGCAAAGAAGCAATCAGACACACAAGATCATTAGAACAAGATGAGAGTGAATAAAAAGAACACACTGAAAAAGAGGGCAATTATTCGAAATGCAGAATCCACAAAGGTCCCAGATAGCAAGACAGATTTTGCCTGCTACCAAAGTCCATCCACATATGATTCAGGAAAGAGTGGCATTATATTTGGATGCCACAGCTGCAAATGATCTCTCTTTTTTTGGTAGCCGCTGGCAGTGGTGGGATTCAGCCAGTTCGTACCTAATGTACGGAACCGATACCTAATGTACGATCGGTTCTGCAGAACAATTTGCTGGCCTGCTGAATCCCACCACTGCCAAGGAGGCGCTGCCAAGCCTGGCAGCCCCCTCCCTGGAAAGCCCAGGCGCATCCTACTGGCCCAAGCCGAGCAGCAGCATCCACTCTCAGCTCCCTCTCGCCGCCCCTTGCCGTGCCACCTGGGCTCTGGTCTGGCCCTCCCGTCCCCGCCCGCCCCGGGGAGGTCAGGGATGCTCAACTCAGTGGGGTCCGTGGGAGAGTTTGGGCTGGGCTGGAGCTGCAGCCACCCTTACTTGGGGAGGCGGCCCCTGCTGGCTCCTCCATCCGCCCAGGTAGCAGCAATCGCCACTGCCGCCTCCCTCCACACCACGCTGGTCACTGCAACTGGAGCAGGAGCTGCCGCTGCTGCCGAATGACCGAGCAAGCATCGCCACCAGGGAGGAAAGGAGTGGGGCTGGCCAACAGGAGGGGGCAGGTGACCAGGAGGCGGCGGGTGAGCACTCCTTGCCCAGCCGCCGTTGAGGGGAAGCACCGCCCAGCTCTCCCTGGAAGAGAGGAGGGGAAAGGCAAGGAAGGAGGGAGGGGAGACGCGCCCCCAAGGAAACGCCCCCAATCCACCCATCCGCCCTCTTCCCCACCCCCAACATGACCGGGTGCCAGCGGGAGGGGGTGCCCAGCTTGGCCAGGAGGAGGAGGAAGAGGGCACCTCTGAGCGCACGCAGAGGGTCCCTGGAAGAGAGGAGGGGAAAGGCAAGGAGAGAGGGAGGGGAGACGCGCCCCCAAGGAGACGCCCCCAATCCACCCATCCACCCTCTTCCCCACCCGCAACAGGGGTGGTGGAGGAGGAGGGCACCTCTGAGCACACGCAGAGGGCCAGGCCTGAAAGGGGCCCTCCCCAGCAGAGGAAGAAGGTGGCTGCTAAAAGGCAGGAGAGCTAATTCGGACCAGCAGCAGGGGGTCTCCACCCAGCCAGGCCGTCTTCTAGCCCTTTACGGGGAGGGACTTCGGAGCACAGGAAACCATCGCTCCTGCTTTGGACTAGGGCTCCCAAAATCCCCCTGCCTCGGTGGGCCAAAGGCAAGCAGCCCCAGTCCACTGAGGCCGCGCTGGCTGGCTGGCTGGCTAGCAGAGCATGGGAACTGGAGTCTGCAGGAAGGTTTCCTACTCCTAGGCTCTGGACTGAGTACTGATAACCCCGGGGATGGAGGGCCTGCCAGGGAGATCAGATCCCGTTGGGATCTTTTAGCTGTTTCTTGCACCCCAAGGAATACTTAGGCTTCTGGCAGCAATGAGGAGGAAGCCCGTGGCTGCAAGCTTGGGGTCCAGCATTAAAAAACAGCCACCGTCTTCCAGCAAAGTGTTTTCCCTCCCAAGAAAACCCCAGCAACCTGACGGGCTGAAATATTTTGGCTCTGAGGCTGCTGGAGGGAGGAGGGAGAGAGGCCTATTCCCCTGTCACGCCTTCCCCCTTTGTGTCCCTAGCAGGGTGGCTTTGTGGGGGGCAGAGTTGGGATGGGCCTCCCTCCGCCCACTGAGCAACACTGGGCCTTTATCCCTGTCTCTGGCAGCAAAATGTCCACCCTCCCACCCTCACTCCAAAAACAGAGCCAGGCATCGCACATCCGAAGGGAAGGCCTTGGTCCAGTGAGGCCCATGAGGGACACCTGGACGGTCTTGCTTTGGAAAGGGCCACTGCAGGAAAGCCTCCAGGGCGCAAGGCCAAAGCCGGAGGCTGGAGATTGCTCTCCTCTTGGAGAACAGTCTGGGTTAGCAGCAAGGAGAGGGAGAAGGATTGTAGAACTGGCCACTGGGAAGAGATCCCAGAAGGTCATCTAGACCAGTGGTTCTTAACCTTGGGTAACCCAGGTGTTCTTGGACTGCAAGTCCCAGAAGCCCCAACCAGCATAGCTGGTGGTGAAGGCTTCTGGGAATTGCAGTCCAAGAACACCTCGATTACCCTAGGTTAAGAACCACTAATCTAGTCCACCCTTCTTGACAGGTACAAGCATAAGGGGCTACCCCAGAATTGTTCCCGGTTGTTTTTTAAACAGCTTGGATGGCCACCTGTCAGGAATGCTCTTGCTGTGGGTTTTTAGCATTGGCAAAGAGCTGGTCTACTCTAGAGCCGTGCCTTGGGACCCAAGTTGGAGAACCACTGGTCGAGACGATCTTTGGGATCATGTCCTTTATCTTCAATAACCGTCTGTCAGGTATTTAATATTAAAAATCTTCCTTTAAACATAATCTAGTTGTCTGTACTTCTTTTACTGTTCTTATTGCAGTATTTAATGTGTGAATTATTAAACTACCTCTCGGTATATCTTTTGGTATAGTTAAAATGGTCATTAGGACATAGAACCTGTTGTTAATTTATTTGAATCCCACCACTGGCCACTGGTATTAATTTTAGAAAAAGTACCTAGAGAAGAACTAATGATACTGTATAGTTCTTAACTGAGGAGTAAATTTAAGTGGACTTATCAAATAAACAGCTGAATGAATTATCAGCCTTTCAAAAAAGACAGATGATTAGTCGTGAATCTAATAAGCAGACAAGTAGGAGGGCGGATCAAATGGTTCGACAGGCTATTTGGTGAAAAACTGAAAACCCCCCAGGGCAGCCTGGCCTTCTGCAAGGATTCCTCCCAAATAGGTACACAGTAATCTTACACGTTTGCTGAGGGGCCATGTTGGCTAGGGAATTCTGGGAGCTGTTTTTGATAGAGATGTAAATTCATAGAAACATTGATTCAGGGAAGACCGGAAGGCACCCAAGTGTTGGTTCATCTGTTAAAATGTGCATATTTTGATGGGAGAATGTTCATCAAGCATGTATGTATATACTGAAGTCTTGCTATCTTTTGCACATGTTCTGGGCCTGGCTAAAATATTTTGAATCTGTTTTTAAATGTGTGTTTTTTAAATCATCATCATCATCATCATCATCATCATCATCATCATCATCATCATCATCATCATCATCATCATCATAATGGTTTCAGTTTCTTTGATTTCTTTTATCCTGTTCTTGATTATTGTAAATCACTTTGGGAAGAGCTGAGAGCAGAAAGGCTATAAACCAAAGCTATAAACAAAGAATCACGTCAACAAAGATGGAAACACATTCCTGGAGTAATCTAGGAGGGGGATAGATTTTTTTTTTTTTGAGCTGAAGCCAGAGCGAATTATAGCCTGAATCCCAAACTTTGGATCCCTCGCTGCTGCCCTGCTGCCTCGTCCTCCCTTTCTGCCAAGGCCCAGCCACTGCCGCCACCAACTCTGCCTCCCCAGATGGTGTGGTGCCTGCTCAGAACCAGCAACCCAGCTGCCCTGCCACAGAGAAACCAGCTGAGAGGAGCCGCAGACAGTCACCGCCTCTGAGAGAGTACCGCGTCACCCAGCTGATCCAGGCAGCAAAGCCCGGTGCTGTGATCTAGGAGCCAGTGGGTGGATGGAGGGGTGGACAAGTGATTGGGCACTGGTGGGGCAGTTGGGGGCAAGTGATGCAGTGCGTGAGAGGGCAATCTAGCAATCGGTCAGCGGCAGGGCAATGGTGGTGCTGGGTGAGCAAGGCAGGCGAATCGCAATGCTTTTATTATTTTTTCTTTCATTCCTGCACTCGACCATAGAGCAGGAATAATTTTTAAAAAGCAGGAGGGGAGTCCCACGAATCAACTGCACATGTGCCTCAAAATAAACGGACTACAAAATAAACAGAGCAAGAAAAACTTGCTCCGCTGGAAGAGTAATCTCTATGTGCATATGCCTCATGTGTATGCTAAAATTTAAGTTGTGTGGGTTTGTTTGTTTTTTAGGAGACCCCAATGCAACAGTGGGCTTTATTGTCAGCGGGGTGAAGCTCCAGGTCTCAGCCATGAAACAGTGAGCCGCTGTCTTACAAAGGAGAGCGTTGTTGTTCAGATCCTGTTGGCAATCCTAAGGATACATGTGGAATCCTTACCTGTTTGTGAGCGTGGTCATAGGAGTTGATGTGATTGTCAAACTCTTGGTGTTTGTAGTACTGTTTGTCGCAAAGTTCGCAATAGAAGTTGGCTTTCAGGTCTTCGAGAGCCTTGGCTATCGTATTCTCCTTTTCAGCATAATCCTGTGGAGAGGAAGGAAGGGGGATGGGAAGGAGAGAGAGAGTACTTTATAGTTATTCAGCCATTAAAATCTGGAGGGTGGTTCCTCTTCCCCCTCCTGTTCTGTAATTTAATCAAATCTGTCAACGTTTACACTGCTGTAACAAAAAGCCTGAGTGTATTTGCTTGATCAGCAGAGAGGCACGACTTTTTTTTTCTTTTTTTTTTGCACACTCCAATTTGCACTCCAACCAACAGCTACCTCTAGGGCTTTCGAAAGACACAAGGCTAAGGAAAACGTATTTTTAATCTTACAGAAAAGCAAATAAATAAAATGAATATTTCTCCTGCCTAAGGTAATGTTAATTTCCATAGAAAAGACGCCTTCCTTCCTTCCTCCCCCCCACCCAGCCAAGCCAGGGTCAAAACCTTCACTGAATAAATACATCCCAATAGAACACATATGGAGATTAAAACAGACATTTAATTTGGTTACAGGGCTCTTGTCAGGGAACAATAATAAACAATTTACTGCATGAATATGGGGAGAAATAAATACGTTGCAGGACGGTTATGGCCACAGAGGCATCATTATTTATTTCAAATATTACAGACCGTGCAATAGCCTATATTTTATGGTGTGGTTTTATGGGGCAGTGAGGAAAGGGCGGCAGGGCAGGAAGAGAGAAGGCACGCGAGCACTTGCAGCATCATGATCATATTTAAGGCAGGGCAGAGGAATCTTTGACCTTCCAGATGTTCTGCATCGTAACTTCCATCATTCCTTACCATTAACCAAACTGGGTGGGGATGATGGGAGCTGCAAACCAAAACAGCTGATGAGCAAAGTAATCTACACCCTTAACACAGAGTGCACTTTACACCACATGCCACCACATCAAACTTTGCCATTATATTGAGGCAACGTAAGCACTTCTCAGCAACTACAGAAAAGCAGCAACTCTCACACAGATAGTGCTTTTTATCAGGACAGATCATGGCTCCATCTAACTCAGTGGTACCCAGATGTGGTTGCCCCAAAGTCTTTGGTCTACAAGTCTCAAAATTCCAAGGAAAGACAATTCAATACTTAGGGCTTCTGAGAATTGTAGCCCAAGAGCATCTAAGGCTCCAAGCCTGGGATCTTTTGACTTCCTCTCCGCAGACCGGTGACAGCTCTCAGGGGTTTGGACAAAGGAAGGAAGGAAGGAACTGACATTGTGAAAAAGCATGTTTTCATACTAACTGATGGTTGCTGCCAGATAGTGGTAGTGGTGTTGGCAGAGGAGTAGTTTTGGCTAGTGATATAAACCTTTCCATATGTTATTTTCTCAGGTAAGGAGGAAAATTTCAAGTTTTCCCTCCATTGGGTAAGGTTATGAGAGTTTTTGTGCAATTGGAACTGTTTGGTATAAACATTGTGAAAGGGGGGGGGGTTGGTGCAGAAAAGTTGTATTTTATTCAAAAATGTTTGCCATTTGGAAGTTTCTGGTCAGATGCAGTACATCTAGGGAAGCCAAAGGTATTTTGATTAAACCAATTACGGCATTTTTCAAGAATGGTATATGTCTATGTCTGTTTCGCTATGTGTCATACACACATTCTCCCTCTCACACACACAATGATCCATAGGGTCCTTACAGGAAACCAAAGTCACTGTGTGTCAGTAGAAAAAGCAGTCCAATAATTTTAAGACTCAGCCAAATCCTGCCAAGCCCCTGATCGAATGCAGCGTGTCTCCCATCTCCTCTGTGTTACAAATAAGCAAAAGTACTTGCAACTGCAAAATTACCTTTGAAAAAAGTCTCATAAAACCGCTTGATTAAGTTCTTAAATGTTAGCCAAGCTGTTACACACAGTTTTGTGGTTATTATCTATTATTTACGATGCTCTTTTGGTAGTTCAAAACTAAGGAGGTAAATCAAAGGGATAATATTATTTCATAGCGGCATGCAAATAAAACTAGTGGGAGACCTGAGCGAGCTCTTGTAGAGCCATCCTTGGTCTTCCCAACAGCATGACCTTGGCACTACTGAACAGTTTATCGGGGGGGGGGGATAGGCTTGGGATTTCCAGAGTTCTGGATTGCTATATACTACCATCATTTTAGCTGTTTCGACAAAGCCTTAAAGGAGACTAAAGCCATTTTCTGGCTAAACTTGGGTTAATCTTAGAAGGCCAAGAACACAATATACTTGATGAGCTTTGTCTTGGAAGTTGGTACACTGTCGTAATCAGAGGAGCTAACAAGCAATGTTTTTTTAAATGCATAATAATGGGACTTCTCAGAAGCTTAGTAGGTGATGCTCAGTCAAAATGTCAATCCAGATGAACATCTTTGAAAGGCAGCTGGCCTGGCACTGGGGGTGCCAGATCAGTACCATCTGATCCCATGAGGTTCCAGACTAAAACCTGAGACTGGGGTGGGCAATGGTGATGACACAGAGGCAGAGTAGACAAGAGCTGGGAAGGAGGCAGAACCATTCCTAACCAGTTGACTGTAGAAATGGGTATAATAGGAATCTGGGTTAGGAGATGTAGGGTCTTGGTAAACCTGGCTAATCCCAGATCTTCTGCTGCTCCTGAGGCTGGTGGAAAAGTCACTGTTAGCCTTCTGCCCTATAACAAAAGCCACCATGTGGGTCATACTCCCAGTGATGCAGATTGCATATTAAGTCCAAGTGCAGGCAGCCTCCAGTTATTTTCATTTGCTTCTGACTTTTGTTTGATGTACTGACAACATGCAAGTCCAATATATATACAACTGCATCCACCATGCCAAGCCAGTGATCCCAACTATTCAAAAGAAATTACAAATGTTATTTGTAGTTACTTTGTTTTGCAACATTACAACTGAAATATGATAAAATGTTACTCCTTTTGCAGTGTAACTAACTTGTATCCTTAGTTACAGGTTGTGTATGGCTTTGCTATGTAACTGAGTTTTAATCACAGTCTAACACCTTGCAGCATTTTGATTTTATTGAACAACAGACTATCATTTCAGTTACTTTTGAATAATAAGAGTGTAAAAGAGTTAAGGCTGTTTTTTTAAAAAAGAACTATATTGGGAAATAACAACTTTGGGGGCCTTGGAACTATAATGAGTTGCCTTTTAAGAATATCCTTCAATGTTCTGTATCACTTGCATCCACATATTCTCCTTTTCATTGCAGGGACTAAAGAAGGTGACAAAGGCTAATCAAGGCTGCATCTTGATCCCCAGTCAAGTGAATCTTGGTACATCAAGAGCAATCAGAGCAATTTGTCAGCTTATAATACTCCAGCATTGAATATTTAACAGGCATGCACAGATCACTCCCAGCCTCTGTCCCTAGTAACTCAAGAGCTTCTGTTCTTTCTGGAGGCTGCAAGTGTTAGCAGACAGAGGGCAGAAAGGGGCTCTGTGTGACAGCTTCTTGACGGCTCCCAATCAATCCTACCCTGAGTACTAAACAGGAAGAGGAACTTTGGGAAGAACTACAAGAAGCAACCAAGGGGGAAACCCAGTGTAAACATCTCAAAGATGGAGAAACACGCTGAGCTGAGCACTGGCCACAAGGTCAGGGCGGAAGGTTTTTCCCCCTGTTTTGCGAAGTCTGGGGAAGGGCATTGCAAGGATGACATAAGGAATCCCAATATTGGAGCAAAGTTTCACCCACTGGTCCCTCCTGTTCTGCACTGCTGGCACTGTCTTGCAAAGGCTGCCCAAGATATCTGGGAGCCTTACCTGGTGAGGGCAGGAATCCAAGCTGGGATCTTTTGTGTTTAGTGCATGTGCTCTGTGACTCCCTCATGCCCCTTTGACAAATGGAACACTGTTCCCAAGAATATCAGGGAGTGTACACTCTCTCTTTGCAGAGAAATCTAGCCTTACTGCTCCCTCTAGGTCTGGGTGATACCACCTTTGCATCTTTGTTATGTTATGTTTAATCATACAAAATGTGATATTCCTAAGACATGATGTTTCTACACTCTTTTTAAAAAAAAAAACATTTATCCTTTGCAAGCATCCACCATTGACTAAAGTACATTTCTGCCCATATTTAAAATATGTATAGTTTTCTACACAGCGCTGTGCTCTTCCATCACAAGTCCTGAAAATTGTAGATTGCCAAGCAGAAACTGAATCTGATTCACTACTGTTTCTCAGAGGGATAGACAAGGGCCTGGGGAAGAAAAAAAGGGGGGGGGGAAACAATTCTGATAGATATCCTTTATATCAGATATCCTTTATACCCATACCAGAAGGATGGCCTGTTGCTTTTAAGTACACATTCAGGTTCTGAAATTTTCAGAATTCACCAAATAGTCCCGTATTCAGATAGTTCTAAATATATCCACATCTGAATTTTATAGCTCCAAATATCTGTAACAATAATTCCTAATATTTGGAATCCCGTTTATTCCTACAGCTAAAAAAGCAAAAAGCCAGGTTCCTGCTTGTTGGAGGAAGAAAGGAAATTAAAAACCTATTTCTCAGGCATCCTGGGATGATTTCTTGAGAAATGAAGACACTGTGGCACCAAGGGTAGTGGTGAAAGGGGCAGAAAACTCAGTGTCTCTTGATTAGGTTTACCATGGATTTTTCAAAGGGAAGGGGGCTGGGAGAGCAAAACATCAATGATGTCTCTCTGGATCAACAAAAGGTAGAAGCAGGCACAGATATGAGGAGGTTTTTTTTCCAAGTTGGTTCTTTCTAATTGAAGGGTAGGCATAGCTGCTTGTAAATCCTCTGAGCATTTGCTGTTAGGGTATGCTCTGTAGCAAGCCTGCACTGCAGCAGTTTTCTCTGGTCCCTTTCTGAACTCCCAATTTATATTTACATTTTCTACATCTCATTTTATCTTCTTGAATTAATATAGTCAGAAATAAGATTTAGGATTAGTAGATTCATAGATTAATACATTATAAATCAACAGGGAAATGTTGTATTAGGTTAAGCTCCTTTGGGCTACTTCAGGTAAGGAAGTAAGATTTTGTTATATAGAGACAGATATATTAAGTTCATAGATTTTGTGTC